GAGGCTAGACCCCGGCAACCATGCCACCTGCTGGTCCCCGTAATCTTTATTTTTATTAATTATTTTTAAAAGAAAATTCTGCTATAGAGTGCATGCACTCACCAGAGAGACAGAGACAGAAAGCAAGAAATCACCTCCCAGGGGATGGCCACACTGCAATCCCTTCTCCATTCTCCTCTTGGGACTTCGGGCATGCATGTACACATGCCCAGTGTGCGTTTTAAGTCACCAGGTCTGGGACCTGAATCTCGGTTCCCTGCGTGGGAGTCCAGAGACATAAACATTATGACATCTGCTGGTCCCAAGGCTTGTAATCTTTAAAAGACTGAAGGTCATAGAAGTCGAAGACTAAGGAACTATTCTATATTAAAGGAGACTAAAAAGATATAAAAACTAAATAGCGGGACTAGCAAGTGACACAATGGTTATATTGCTGGATTCCCACATGGCCGATTGTGGTTCAAGTCCCAAACCAGGTGACTTAAAACTCACACCAGATGCATGTGTGTGCATGCCCAAAATCCTGAGAGGAGAATGAAGAAGGGATTGAGGCATGGCCAGCTCCCCAGGGGGTGATTTCTCACTTTCTGTCTCTCTGGTGAGCCCACGTGCCTTACAGAAAAAATTAAAAATAAAATGAAATAAAACAAATAGCAATGCATAATTCTAAACTGGATCTTTTTGCTCTAAGGGACATTACTGGGACAATTAAAGAGATTTTGATAGGATCTAAGCATTGGATTGGTATACTAAATCAAGGTTGATTACTGCCCCCTTAAAATTGTGTTATAAGGGTTACCTGAAGAGTTCTCTTCAAAACTTTCGTGTTTGTCTCAAGTTATTAACCTGGACCCAAGAACAGGTTGGATGGTGACCACAACTTGTCAGAGTTTTCTTTTCCACTTCTTTCAATTTTCTGCTTAGTAAGTTTCTACCATCCCTGCAAGTTGAGGGAAGTATGGGTTAAGATGCAGTTTATTTATTTTTACAAGTTTTTGTCATGGGGGGACCAGCAGTTGGTGTAATGGCTATGTAGCTGGACTCCCATGTAGTTCACCATGGTACACAGCCATTACGCCCACTGCTGGTCCCAAGCAACAGTTATTATCCTTTGACAGTATTATCTCAAAATAATATCCATATACACAAGTAATCGTCAAGTTTAGATTTTAAATTAACACTTTTTTTTTTAACAATATATATATTTTAAAGAATTATCATGGCACCCGCTGGCCCCGACACTTTTTAAGAGGTTTTTGACTTAGGGTGCCTGCACTTGCCAGAGAGAGAAACAGACAGTGAGAGGAAAAATGAGAAAGCACCCCGCCCCCAGGGGGATAGCCATGCTACAATCCCTTTTTCTCTATTTGCCTCCTAGGATCTTGGGCAGGCATGTACATATGCCCAGTGTGATTTTCAAGCGAGTCCAGGACTCAAACCTTGGTCAGCCATGTGGAAGCCCAGCAACGTAACTACTATGCCACCTGCTGGCCCAAGAGTGGTTTAATTTTATCCCAAGGGTGTAGCACTTTAGGAACCCAAGTTAAGTTCCAAAGGTCTTCTGTAAGAGTCACTGACTTGAGTGGCCTGGTTCTAATCTTCTCTTAACTACTGTGCCTGGTGAACTGGCCCCCAAGTGTATTTAAGAAAGCTTTTAAAAGTTCACAGAAGGGACCAGCAGGTGGCATGGTGGTTAAGGTGCTGGACACTCCCACATGGCTGACCACAGTTTGAGTCCCATACCTGGCAGCTTGCTTTCTCACTCTTTCTCTCTGTCTCTCCTGGTAAAATGAAAATAAATTAATAAAATTAAATAAATAATTATTTTTAAAAAGTTCACAGAAAACATGTATTATGTAAAAAAACTACACATTAATTAAAAATTGCACCCAAATAAAATCATACTTCAATTCCATTTCCCCACAGATTTTCTGAGGTCCCCCTTTATAATACTACTAGCAGTTTAGAGCACAAGCTCCTTTGGTGTTCACCTGATTGCAGGATCCCATTTTTAAAATGCCCTGGATCACCCACTCCTTTCTGCCTCAATAGTCTCTTGAGGGAGAAGGTGGTATGGTCTGAATGCTACTGTCCCCAGTGCGACAGTATTAGGAATGTGGCCCTCGAAGTGATCAAAATCGTGAGGGAGGAGCTCTCATGAATGGACCCTGCCCTTACAAAGGAGTTGAGACTTGTTACTTCTACCAAGTGAGGATGCAACAAGTGCACTTTGGAAATGGGCCTTTGCCGGACATCCAAGCTGAGGGCACCTTGCTCGTAAACTTCTCAAACCCTAGACCTTTGAGAAATAAATTTCCATTTATAAGCTACCAAATTTCTCATACCTTGTTATAGAAAGACAGAAGGCATACTACCTACATTTAAAAATGCTGTATTTTCCATTACTTTTGGTGGGAAACTGACTCAAAGAACTTACTTTTACCTGAAAGTAAAATTTTCATTTTTCCTCGTACAGACTTTTTTGAGTTTTTGTTGTTGTTGATGACTACAGAGCATGTGTACTCACCAAAGAGAAAACTCAGCCCCAGAGAGCAGGGCCACACCACAATCCTTTCTTCTCCATTCTCCTCTGGATCCCGGGCATGTGCACACATGCACCCTGCCATATTTCTCAAGCTGCTGGGTCCAAGACTTAAATCGTGCAGTCAGGCATGTAGGATCCGGCTACCTTAACCACTATGTCCCCTGCCAATCCAAGACTTTTCATTCCGGAGTTCTGGGTTTATGTACTTTATTTCTATTCTTTGAGTCCTTGCCCATGACATTTTCTCATACATATTTAACTTAGTAAAATCTAGAGTTATAAAGCATCTTGGTTTTCTTCTGTTAATACAAACAATTTAAGATTTTTACATAGATCATCCAGCTACAAATTTACCCACTATGGTCCAACATTTCAAAAATTGTATTTCTTCAATGAGGGTGAGAGAGAGAAAAAGAAGTGCCCTCAACAGAGTCTCACACCACAATCCTCCTTAGCCTTCCCAGTCAGCCAGGATCATGGGGGCACGTGCTTGGTGTGTACAAGTTGACTGGGAACCGAACCCGCCATCTTCCACATGGATCCAGCTTCGCTTGAGCAGTGTGTTACTGCTGTGCCACCGAGCCTGCCCCAATTCTATCTTCAGCCCTGCAAATTAGACACTACTTTTTAAAAAAAAACACATGGTTTTGACTTACCTACAAGCTGTTTTAATTTTTCTTTCTTTATATTATTCTCTGAAAGGTGGTGACCCCTAAATCACCTGATGTCCCTGGGGTGACTCAAGCTGACCCAGCTGTACCAGCTTGGTGGATTTATGCCATGATGTTCACCTTGGGTGGCTACAGACCGAGACCCCTTCATGTCTGAGATCAGCCCAATTGACAAGTATCTGGTTCTAGGTACACTTGAAATCTGGGCCAAAAAGCCCTGGGTCCATTCCTCAGGTGTCTGATAGATGAGGGCTGTAGGATTATGTCCCAGTGTTCAGTTCACTGGGGAACTTGGAGTGCCCCTCTGAGAGGTGGCCATCTTCTCTGTTACTTCACCTGTGCCCCCAAAGTAGTTGGTGCATCAGGTTGTTAGTGCTTAAGGAGGTGTGTGTATGTTTAGGGAGAGGATGGTAGAGCTGTAAGCCACAGAAGCACCAACTGCCCTGGCCATAGGGATGTGGAAACCTCAGGCAACCCAATCACCTAGTAGGCAAAGCTGGTCTCATTTTCAGGAAATAGATCAGTCTGCGCCCTGACGACTGGGAATGGGTCATGAATACTCTGCAGCCTTCTTTCTGCTCAGGATCTCAGTCTTGCTAGAGACCAGCCAGTCTGAAGGCTAGCCAAACATTCTCCCACCACCTTCAACCACTATTTCCCCACTCCTCTCAAAATCGAAACAAAACTCAATTCCACATCCCACCCAGATGTCACTGCTAGCTCCCTCTTCCTGACTGGTTAGTCATTTTGCTCACGGAGTTTTTAGTTCGGACACCTGTTAAGGTGGTTGTGCCCCCACTCCACCCCCATTTATCCTTATCTACCAAAATCTGCTCTTGCTGCT